CTCGCCGAGCGAGGGAGGGCCTGCGTCGAAGAGGAAAGAGAAGGGAAAAGGGGCGGGAGACGGAGACGGAGGGGCGGCGCCCGAGTCACGTGACCCGGGGCAGCCCGGAAAGCTCCGAGGAGGAGCCTGGCGCCGCCATTTTCCTGCAGCTGCCTGTCCCTTTTGCCCTGCCCGGCTTCAGCTGACCAGGGAGGGGGTGGGCTGAGCTGAGGCGGGGGCAGGGGAGTGCCCGATTTCGTGCCTGACCCCGCGGGTGACAAGAGCCGGTTCTTTCCGGGCTGGGTGGCAGCGTGCGGCCCTGAGCCCCGCCCCAGGTCGGCAGGCGGAGAGGGAGCCGGTGGGGGTAGGGGGGTGGCGGTCCTCCGGCGCTTGGGGGTCCCAGTCCCCGCCGGCTGCCGAGCGGGAGGGGTGGCGGAGGAGCCGCAGAGATGTCCGGCCAGAGCTTGACGGACCGAATCACCGCCGCCCAACACAGTGTCACCGGCTCCGCCGTGTCCAAGACAGTATGCAAGGCCACGACCCACGAGATCATGGGGCCCAAGAAAAAGCACCTGGACTGTGAGTGAAGCCGACCGCTGCCCCCGCGACCCGCGTCATTCTACCCATCTCTCTTCTTCCCCGCTTCGGCTGCCTCTTCCCTCCCTGCGTCTTCTCTGGCGCGGCGGGTCCTGTGCTCATCCGAGCTGTGTTCTTTTTGCTTCCATCACACCTGCCTTCACGGCTTCCGTTCCCTGTCTAAAAATCCCTGACAAGCCACTCCCCTCCGGGTTCCTAGGGGACCCTGGCTTCTCTGCTCGGTGCTCCGCGATACCCATTACAGCCGGCCAACTTGCCTCTCCACCTAGCCCCTCACCTCCCGGCCTCCTATGTCTGCTGCAGCCTTCTACTCTTTCTTCCCACCCGTCCCGTGCTGCCTAGCCGCCCTCTCCTGAAAGTCTCCCCGCTTGCTCCCGGCCTCACCGCCCTATTGTTTCCCCACTAGCCTTCTTCGGGTTTCCGTAAACGCCCGGTTCCGTGGGCCCGGATCCCTGTTTCTCCGCAACCCTGAGGGCCGCCTCCGTTGAAGTGATTCCCACTTCCTTTGCTCCATTAGCCTCTTCTGTCCTTTCCTTTCCCGTACACCTTTCCTCCCGCCCCCACCCCCGCCCTTTGGGTTACCTTTCTTTGCCTCTGTAAGTTCACTTAAGTTCCTTCGTCTCATTGTAAATATCATACTCAATATCGGACTTTTTTCCCCTGACTACTTTCTTCGTGGGCGTGAAAGTACAGGGATTCTGTTGGTGTGGGGAAAGCTTTGTGGAACGCCGGGATTTTTAATCACCTCTGGTGGGGTTTAATCATTGTTTTTTCATGCTTTTGACTGGGATAATTTGTGAATGTCAGTCCCCCCCCCCCCTTTTCTTTTTTCTAATAGGGATATGGAAAAGGGTTTGCTGATTTTGGTATCAGTTCCTAGAGCTGTTAAGCCTGGCGGTTTGAATTCAGAAGCTTGAGTGAAGTGTAGACTATTGGAATTCAAAATAGATTAATAATCAAATCTACAAATAACATACATCCTTTAAAAAACTGGTAAAAAGATATTTGGTGATGCTTGAGTTTGGACTCCGTTTTAATTTATGCTGGTTATCTTTTGAGGAACTAGTTTTTCTTACACGCATGATATTATACCATTCACTGACTTAGCTACAGTTACTAGAGCTAACTACTCCGAACTTTTTCCAAACCTGGAAGCCACCTGTAATATCCTTTTTTATTCCACTCCTTTACCTCAAGGTACAAAGATCAGTGCATTACTCAAGCTTTGACTCAATGGAGCTTTGACCTGAAACTTTTCAGGGAAACATAGGGAAAAAGGCATTGTAATAGATAAGTTCCTTTTTTAAATGGCTACTGGACACAAAAGCCTGACTGACTTCATCCTACGCGAAAGTTACTTTGCTTTACTGTTTGAAGGAAGAGTGAGCATGTCCTGAAAGGGAATTCACTGATGGGAGTCCTGTTTTGAGTTCTCGTTTGGACTTTGGCCCTAAGGTTTGCGCTTTTTAAAAAAATGTACAAAATGTGAATTCTTCCAAGATACTTTGCTCATGAAGTACTGTTAGAACAAGTTACTGCTACAGACAAACCCATTATTCATTGTGACTTATTCCTTCCTTGTGGAAAAGTTTAAAAAAGCATCATTATTGCTTGGTTCTTCTTTTGATGTGCGGGTCATGGAGGCTGCTTGTTAACTATCAAGGATTGACAGTCAATCCTGCTTGTTAACTATCAATCCTTGACTGTTTTAAAGAATTCAGAATATATTTAAATGGTGACACATTTATAAATGGAAAATTCTTTTAAATACATTATGAAGCCATTTAAGTACCTCTTTTGATTGTCTGATATTTGGAGTAGACATTTCTCCTGTTTACTTCTCTTCAAATGACTACTTGGCTTGCTCTACCCAATCTATGGTTTGTCCTAACACTGTTAATTCTTTTGTTTGGTTGGTTTTGTTGTTTGTTTGTTTTTGGCGTTGAGGAAACTACTTGTGACTTTGTGAACTGTTATCCTCATCTCTCCCTTCAAAATGATAAATTATAACACGAATAGATACCGCTTTTAAAAGTCTTTTTAAAGGTTCTTGTCTTATTTCAAATGTTGCAGTTCTAACACATTGTGGAAAAGGTCAGAAAATAGGCTAGGTAAATTTAGGAGAGTGAGACTTGCTTGTGGTTTTATGAATGTTAGCCTTTTCTCTTGTAATGGAAGCTGCTGCAGATAAGAACTGGGATTAAGTTTGGTATATGGATAATCTCACATTTGTAGTCTTTTTCTCTACCACTGCTGTGTTTATAAATTCCCACTTTAGAACCTGAATATTCCTGGTAATGTTTGATTTTTTTAAAAAAATCTGTATGAATAAGGAGCCACTTACTCTATGAGGTTTTTAAAATACAGTAATACTATTTTTCTTATATTGTTGTTTAAAACACCCTTATAACCAATTCCACTAATGGAATAAATTTAAGTCTGACCAATGAGTGGTTTTTGTAAACACCTTCTTCCCCCACACACTTTAACATACTTTGAGGAAATTGAAAAGGCTTTCACAAACAGTTCTGGGTTTTGACATCATGGACTTTTAAGTCTTTAATGTAGATACAATTTTTCCTCTTTTAGGAATTTTTCTTTCTAGTGAAGGCTTAGTTCTCTTGCACCTTTTAATATACTGAGAAACTGTTGCCTAATTAGTTGACCCTAATGAAAATGATTTCATTTTTTAAATATTAGTATTTAACAAAAATATGCTTAAGACTGTTTTTTCCTATAAACCTTTAGAGTGTGGAGGTGGTTTCTGTGTACTCCGCCAAGGTCTGTCTATATTAGGAAATGATGATTGTAATCCATGAATTATGGCTTAATTCATACTACATTGTATACTTGTTTAAGAAAGACCTTTTGCTTTGCTTATAGGGGTCAGTAGATAATAATGTTAAGTAGTGTCCCTAGTATGAAAAGAGTTGTCAAACCTGAAACATATTTTTAAAACTAAACATGGTTTGCATTTAATTTCAGGCCTCTAATGGCCATAATCAAGATAGAAGAATAGTAGCCTTGTATTTGAAGGACTTCAGTTTGCCAGGCACTTATTAACCATTATCTAATTTAATCCTTTCTCATAGCTATGGGAGAGGCAAGTCATATGCATAGGTCATCTCTAACTAAATTTAAAGAGGGTATAGAATACTTAAAACATTATTGGTTGAAGTACAGACAGAACAGAGTTTTTTTTTTTTTTTTTGCGGTATGCAGGCCTCTCACTGCTGTGGCCTCTCCTGTTGCGGAGCCCAGGCTCTGGACACGCAGGCTCAACGGCCATGGCTCACGGCCCCAGCCGCTCCGCGGCATGTGGGATCCTCCCGGACCAGGGCACGAACCCGTGTCCCCTGCATCGGCAGGTGGACTCTGAACCACTGCGCCACCAGGGAAGCCCAGAACAGAGTTTTAAAATTTATAAATTCTTAAAGTAAAAACATTCTTACCTGATTTCACAACCTTTACTCTTGTTTTTTTGACAAGAACACTTTTTTCTATACTTGTTTACTTTCCTTGGGCATTTATGTTGGAGCATGTTTCACTGAGATGAAATATTATGTTAATGGCTCTAATGTTTTCACTTTTATATCCATATGTTTTACAGTTAATTTCAAGGGACACTTCATTCCAGCCACCATCTGCCTTACATTCTTACAACAAAATCAAGATCATGTTCTTATTAAGTATCCGTTATAAGCATATCTCTAAGGTAGATACAGTGTGGGTATTTGTGTGTTGTGTAATGGCTCTAGACTCTGCCTAATTTTAATTGTGGAAACATATTTTTTTTTAAAGTAAGAATTTGTGAATGTTTTGAATATGTAGAGAGTGGAATTTATATTTGGGTTCGTGGTTTGTATAACCATTGAAAATACATATAAAATATTGACATGCACCCAAAATAATTATCTTTCTAAACAAATTATTGATTTTTAATGTCTTAGTTAATGATATCCAATGGGTGCTTAGTTTGCGTATTGTCAAGAATATATCTGGTAGCTGGGATCTGATTTGAAAGAAGGTACCAGTGAGGAAGATAGTAAGTAGAAGATCTGCCCCTATATGGCGCTTGTTTAGAAATAAGGTAACTGGGGCTTTCCAAATGGACGATTATTTCGTAGTTAGGTTTGGGCTTACTGTTCTTTCCCATAAGAATTAATCGTATGATTTATATTTTCATTTTCATTATTTGACCTATTCTGTCCCTTACTACTTTAATAGTTCTGAAATACAAAAAAAAATGGTAATTGAGTCATCAAAGTGGTAATAGCAAGATTTGACTACTTATGTCAAATGTAGGAGGTAAATAGTAGAACTCCACAAATATAAGTTTTTCCTCCTTCACATATTTAGTTATGTTTCTGAATAGTATGTATTTTAAAAGAGAAACCTGAAGAGAATTTTACCTATAGCCATTTCGGTAGCTGCCTTATTTGTAACTAGTAAGTTAATTCTAAAATTTCTTTGTAAAGTAATTAGGCTTCACTGGTGGACTTGTTACTTTAAGAAATACTGTTTAGACTTCATCTATTTTTTATCCTTGTAGCAGTGCTTTTTATGTTTATATATTTTATATATCTGAATAATTTTTAAAGATGTCTTAAAATTTAATTTCAATGGAAAAGAAGTGAAACTTCATTATGAAGTGACATGCTTTTTTTCCTCTCATTTGAGTTGTAAAGCACTTGTATGATATTTAATTAGATGTTTTATTTTTTTAACTTTTTTAAGCTCTTCCACTTTACTTTTTAAATTAAAAAAATTTTATTTATTTATTATTTATTTATTTTTGGCTGTGTTGGGTCTTCATTGCTGTGTGCGGGCTTTTCTCTATTTGCTGCTCTAGGGCTGCTCTTCGTTGCGGTGTGTGGGCTTCTCGTTATGGTGGCTTGTTGAGGAGCATGGGCTCTAGGCATGCGGGACTCAGTAGTTGCGGCACCTGGGCTCAGTAGTTGTGGCTTGCGGGCTCTAGAGCA